CATTCTCGCCGGCTTGCTTGAAAACAACGGGAGCTCGCGAGATGGTTCCGGGGGCCGACCCACTGTCCGAAGACGGATCAAGCAAGTTGGCGTATAGCGACAGCATACCGCCTTTGGGGGGAGGTTGAGACACCATCCTTCGGAGCGAAGTTATTGAAAGTCAGGCTCCGTGGTTGCTAAAAACGGGCACCACAATAGGTTACCAGCGCCGCCAATCGACACGCAGCTTATACGCGAGATATATATCCTGGGATACTGGAACTGCGAGTGTCTGCTGTTGTTGTCGCCGTTGCCGTCGTCGATGCTCTATCGCAAAAGGAGCCAAAAGTAGCGTGTTTGCCATGTTTGCCATGTTTGCATAGTTGGCGGGAAACCTCCACCGGACAATTTATTATCCGTCGGCGCCAGCGTCCTCGGTAATCTACCGCGCTTTTCGGGCGAGATATTCGGCAGTAGCAGAATGCGTCATCGGCTTGAGTTTGATATCAACAGTTCGACTCACCAAGAGCATACTAGAGAATAGTATTTTCTTTGATTTATTCTGGCTAGATTGTATTTGGCATTTGCATTTCTGAATTGTTCGTTGACATTGGTAACTATAGCCATCGTCTAATCATGTCTACTCTGGCAAACTCCTTCCCCGGCTCCGCTGCCACCGCGATCATCGTGCCTGGCAAACCGGAGCCGTTAACGATTTCGTATCAGCGCCTACGTTCTGATGTGGACTCATTCCAGGCAAAACTGGCCAAACTGGGAATCTCACCCGGCGCTGCTGTTTCAATTGCGTTGCCCAATTCCTACGAATTCATTGTCTCTTTTCTGGCTGCGTCATGGCAGAGAGCAATTGCGGCTCCCCTGAACCCTGCATACAAGCAAGAAGAGTTCGAATTCTATATTGATGACTTGAGTTCGGCATTGACACTCGTCCCAAGAGGCTCTTTTGCGAAAGATGGGCCAGCTGTACGTGCTGCAAGGAAATACTCTGCAGCTATTGCCGAATGCTACTGGAACGGAAGCGACGTAGTTTTGGACGTCAAAGAGCATGGAAAATTGGCAGGGAAGGGTGACTTAAAGAAGGAAGTGGCTCAACCTGATGACGTCGCATTGGTTCTCCATACCTCAGGTGAGATCTATCTCAAAAGCTTGGAGGAGTAACATTTTACAAAGCTTCAATGAGTTATTAAGCCATTCAGATCCTATGCTTTCCTCCTAGCTTCCCTTCCCTGTTGATATTTAGTCCTAGTACAAGTATGCTAACATTCAATCAGGCACTACTGGTAGGCCGAAAGCTGTAAGTTGGTTGCAGATATCTCTCGGTAAATATTATACTTACAAATCTTAGGTGCCCCTGACACACCGGAATCTTACGAGGACCATGAGTATGTTCAATTGCTGTAGACTCTTACTTTCCATGCTCTGGCTAATCAATACCCCAGAAAACATCCAAGCTACCTACGAGTTGACGGAGAAGGACCGAACGTTGCTTGTGATGCCTCTTTTCCATGTTCATGGCTTGCTTGCGGCATTCCTCGCGCCTCTTTTGTCTGGAGGCTCTGTCATCGTGCCCGAAAAGTTCTCAGCCTCGACATTTTGGTCTGAATTCATTACGTATCACGCAAACTGGTACACTGCAGTTCCTACCATTCACCAGATCCTCCTTAAGACGACACTCCCAAAACCCATACCGAAAATTCGATTCATTCGCTCCTGCTCCTCCCCGTTGTCCCCAAAGACCTTCCATGAATTAGAAAAGGCCTTCCACGCTCCGGTGTTAGAGGCGTATGCAATGACAGAAGCCGCCCATCAGATGACGAGTAATCCTCTTCCTCCAGCAAAGAGGATGCCAGGCACCGTTGGTATTGGCCAAGGAGTGGAAGTTAAAATTCTTGACCAGGCCGGAAACGAAGTTCCTCAGGGCTCCGAGGGTGAGATTTGCATTCGTGGGGAGAATGTTACCAAGGGATACATCAACAACCCTGCTGCAAACGAATCCTCTTTCACAAAGTCTGGATTTTTCCGCACCGGTGACCAGGGAAAAATGGACAAGGACGGTTACGTTTTTATCACAGGGCGTATCAAGGAGCTTATCAATAAGGGAGGCGAGAAAATCAGCCCTATCGAACTGGACAACACTCTTGCTCACAACCCTAATATTGCGGAGGCAGTGTGTTTTGCTATCCCGGATGCCCACTATGGCGAGGATATCGGGGTAGCAGTTGTCTTGAAGAAAGGTGGAAGTCTGTCAGAAGACACGCTGAAATCATGGATTGCGCCTAAAGTTGCTAAATTCAAGATTCCCAAAAAGGTGCATCCATCCTCCCCTTTCTAATAATGACTTTATATATAAGCCATTCATATTATATTATATACATCAAGCTAACGCGTATGCTTCACCTCGGTACAGATATGGATCCTCCCCGAAATTCCCAAAACCGCAACAGGTATGGACTGCGCTACCTTTTTCTTGGACCGTTTGGCATACATAAACTAATAACGCACAAAATCCGCAGGCAAAATACAGCGCCGTAAAGTCGCGGAAGCAATGTTGAAGAAAGAAACACCAAGCCCGAAACTGTAGAGTCAAAAAGAAAAAATTTAATTACTACTATGCGTTCAATCTTGCGACGATAGAGAACAGAAATATGTATATAATTTAGCCTGTGCCATTACTGTGCGTCATAGCCATACATGAAAAGCGTCCTTCAACCCTTGCTTATAGGGGGTGGATGAACCCTTTAGTCCTTCAATATAGACTGGGAATTTTATTGTCTGTTTCCTATGCTGTTGCTTACTGTTCCTCGCTTTCCTACTGAAGTCTGTCTATGATTTGACGGTGATAGCTTGGTTTTGGCATGTCTCTTCTTGCATATCTGGCTGGTCCTGGCGCCAAAAGATGAAATAGTTAGCCGTTCAGAAGCCAACAAGCGCTTGAGGGCTTTTTATCCAAGGTCCTCTAGCAAGGTGGCTTTGAGGCATGAAACGCCCATTCTGGTTGCACTAACTGTGATTTTCTCTGAGTGTATTGATGTAGATGAAGTGCTAAAAGAGCGTCTTCGGTATATATAGGCTCTCTATCAATTTCAGTGACATTTTGACAATTTTGATTTTGATTTTGATTTTTTTGGGGCAATTTTGTGGTTTCTTATTTGCAACAGAACTGCTGGGAGCACAATAGGTATTTCTTGAACAGTAAATAAAACAAACAAGCTTATATAGTACGTAGTCAATAAAGCTGACTTAAAACAAATCAGACCTTCTGGGATTGAAGGGCTCAACGGTTGTCAGACAAGAACGGGCCGCCAATGCGGTACTGCACTCAAAACCCTCATGAACAGAAGAAATGGCATCCCACGCGGAACCTAAGTATGCTTGGGGAAATCTTCATATTTGCTACTGTTGATTCGATTTTGTCAAAAGAAAGCCAAAACCGCAAATTACAGCGGAAGTCGAATAGCAGATTTGAACTATTATGAATAGATTAGGACGGGCATATATCCTCAGGAAAGCTTTATACTAAAGAACAGCAACATACCGGTGTTATTTGCATCTAACATTTTTCAAGTTAGCTGTGTGTTGTTGTAGAATAGAGAAGGTGAAGGGGGCGTTTAAGACGGTAATAATAATAATAATAATAATAATAAATAGGTCAGCCTACATTGTCGATATCCCACACTCCCGACGTTGCATAGATATCCTTTGATAGCTGCTCACGTACGGCCTCGGGAGACTCAGCAACCACGACTAACATACTGCCCTTCATTGGAGGCGTCTGGCCCTCCTCAGGGTGGGATTCAAGCATAGCTCCTGTTCGTCAAATAGTTAGTTAGATTTTAGAGCTTACCAATGCTTCGCTTCGGGGCTCTGGGGGGTGATATCGAGTGCAAAAATTGAAACAATTTTTCGCTTTACTGGCGATTGGGGAATGAGATTTTTTTTTTACCTCCAAGTTTAAGGAAACCGGAGTCTAATATCGGTTGGAGGTTGGCGAGATGAGCACTGCATAGATGTGAATTAGCTATGTCGCACTTAAGATAGGTGATGGAGAGTGCTGGATAGTTTTAGGGAAATGGCGAAAGATTATCAATGAGAGGGGGGTATATGGGACATGGGAAGGTCGTGGAGTCTTATCTCGGTGCATCCAGTGCAGCTTCGAGAACCAAAAGGCATGAGAACAGAGAAGACGTAAAGACACTTAATATGTCCCAAACTCACCTTCGGACTTCTATTCTCTTCTGGAGTGCGCCCTCCTTATCTGGCACAATGACCATGTACTCATTTTTCGCTTTTGCGGTCGACGTCATATTCCGATGGTTGGTGATATGTGAGCACGAGAACGTGGCTGGAAGATATTGTGCAGCAGTTATCCTATGCTGATATTGGTATAGATGCTGAAAACCACAACGACGGTTCAGGAAAATGAGGGGGTTTCGGGCGGCCATTATGCGGAATGGACAACTATCAACCTACAGAGGTATTGTGTCAAAGTAGCGTGGATGTGTGGGGTAGTTAGTTAAGTATATTTAGTTCCGGCCGGGTATAGAAATTTGGGTTGGTCGTGTCAACACACTCTCGGCGTGTTGTAGGGCGCGAGCAGATGTGCTGAAACAGATCGACCACCGTTGGAACCCGAGTCAGATCTCATACCTGTCCGCCAGATTCTCTCATCTCTTTTAATTCTTTCCCTTGGATTTGAACGGCTTCCATGGAAGATGTGAATGTTTGTGGAGGTCCAATCTATATGCCTTAGCCACCGTCGGAGCACTAGCAACTTTCTTCTTCTTCTTCTTTTTTCTTGGACACAAGCCAGATCAGGCAATATATATTTTTATTTGTCATTTTAAATCTACAAGTCTGCACATTTCTAACGATACAGATCCGTAATCTGCCTATAGAAACATACCGCACAATTCTACGAGTAAGAGTGGATGAAGGTCTTGGCTGTCAGATCAACCACAGCTCGGCTTGATAGGTTTTTCCGCGGCTCCAGAACCCAATTACCAGCCCTCGTAGCCCAATGGTAGGGCGTCAGACTTCTACTTTCTGAACTTTCACTTTGAAATAAGTGAATCTGAAGGTTGCGGGTTCGAGTCCCGCCGGGGGTAAAATCATCTCTTTTTTTTTCCGTTCCTTTTTTTTTGGTCTGTCCGATTGCGCCAACAGAGTACGCATTCGAGTCACATAGCGCTTTTCCATACGTCCATCGTCAAGGGGAAAATGCGTCAAGTTCCGGCAAGATCTTCATCCCTTGCCGTCTATACTCCGTAGCCCTAGTGCTATTCCTAGCGTCACATTTGATACTATCCTCGCCTGTAGCCACCCAAAGTCCAGTCTAGACGTAAATTGATCAGTTCACAAAAAATTACCGGGAGGCCTTTATCACAGCAGATAACAAGGAACAAGGTACATACGTAGGAATGAACTTCACACCAGGCGAGCTAGATAGATAGATGCCTTGCATGGCTTTAATCAATTAATCCCAAAATTAGAGGCTGTAGAAATAAGACGCTTATCTTATGACAATTTGAATCTGCTTCTCTGCGGAATTCAAAAGCCCAGCAAAGGAGCAAACATGCTTCCCGCACATCAAAACCCCTTGGGTCTTCCAGGGCATCCACGCGCGGTTAGTTCAAAATATGTCTCCATTATTCTCCGTAGTGGTGACTCAAGGGAGGACAGGGGATAGCACAATGTTGTTTTGATACATTTGCCAACGATGGGGAAAAGTTCCAGCAGCAACCGCTGTGGTTTTCTGTGGATACCACCTTCTGTTCGAACACTTTATGGAAAAGGAGTACACAAATGGAGTCTGACTGTTGATTAGAATACATAGCGATATAGGGCGGGTTTTAGCGGGTTCAGCGCTTAGACTGCTTATTAGCCGCCAAAAAGAACTCTTGTCGGCGCGGAGTTTAACTAGTGTCACATGACGTTCTGGGCCTGAGCAACGATAAGAGTGTCAAACCAAACCCATCTTTGCTTTATTTGCTCAGTTGCAGCCTTGACTCTTCAACAACACAACCCTCCCTTCTTCTTCCAGTTCTTCTTCTTCTTCTTATTTACAAGTTGTCTTGATTCTCCCCTTCTACCTAACCTCCTCAACAGACAACCCCCCCCGTGCACGATAGACAAAAGCGGCCTCTCTCCCCCCCAAATCCAAACCTTATTATTTCTACTTACTTCGTCCTCAGTCTACGAACCCAATTGACGGTCCTGTGCAAAATTCCTTCCGGCCTCAGCCTGGTTGCTCATATCGCAGAACATTTGTAGCCATGTCTCTTTGCATAAATCGACTAACAGAGGAACGGTCAGTCCGGCGCAGTCCATGAATACCATTTTTATTTTGCGCAAGGTTTTTGTGTAGGATTATCTCTTACTGACGAAATATGTCTCTGCTTCTTTTGCGTTTCAGGAAACAATGGAGAAAAAACCATCCCTACGGGTTCTATGCGAAGCCACGTAGAAATGCGGCCGGTGCGCAGGACATGAAGTACTGGGAGTGTGGCGTACCTGGTAAAGAGAAGACCATATGGGCAGGGGGCTTGTTCAAGTTGGAAGTTATATTTCCAGAAGGTAATGTGTTTGCATCAGCATCGCTCACTTCCTTTTTAGATATCTGCAATGAAGAACTATGAAAGAAAAGCGATTTCTAACTGCGGTCGGTTATACACCCTACAGAGTATCCTACGAAACCCCCAAAGTGTATGTCCTCTTTCCAACAAATATAACTTCTCGTCTTGCGGAGTTTATGATCGATGGGATTTTTTTGGGAACTAACTCGGCCAAGGCAAATTCGTTCCACCACTCTTCCACCCAAACGTTTACCCCTCCGGCACCGTCTGCCTGTCCATCCTAAACGAAGAAGAAGGCTGGAGACCAGCGATCACCATCCCACAGATCCTTCTCGGTATCCAGGATCTTCTCGACGACCCTAACCCGGAATCGCCTGCCCAAGCTGAAGCCTATACCCTATTCAAAAAGGACCGCGCTGCGTACGAGAAGAAAGTGAGGCAAGTTGTTAGGGAGAATCCGGGTTTGTAGCATTTTTGTAAATGGGCTGCAACGACGTCCCGACGGTAGTGTCTGGGGTGTTGGGGGCGAAGTTGTGCTTTTCTTGGTTTATAGCAGGGCGTCTTGGTTTGTTATTTATTTTGCTTTTGCCGATCTCGTATGCGTTGACCCTTTTTTTGTCGTCTTCCGTGATTTATTTATTGTTTTAAAATCCCCCCACAATGCGCTTCCTTTTGCATGGCTCCTATTTCCTTCTCTTTTGTTACGTACGCTGGATTAGCTTCTCCAGATTCCACGCACGAGAAATGACATTCGACGTAGTAGCGAGTTCCATTCTCTTGGGTAACCATTTGGCGGAAAATTAAATTAAAGCTATCCTGGCTTTAGGAAGGTGAATTGGTGAGGTACAGTACTGCTTGAACTACTTCATATTTTACATCAAGTAGTCATGTAAGGAGCGCGCGTTATAGGTAACTAACTGTTTTGTTTTACTCTTTTTAAAACTTGTCTGTCCATTCTTACATAGAATGCGAGGCCGAAAATCGGCGCTTATAGCTGCCGAATGGCTGAGCTTTGACAGTGGATAGGTAGGGATAATTGAGTCGGCAATCCGTAGACTGCATTTGCGACAAGGGTTAGCCCCAGGGCAGCATGGACTGAGATAACAAGGGTAAAGATAAGAACTATGGATATGTATATTAGAAGAGGCAGAACACGATGCGCCAACAAGACATTGATTGTTTATTCGTACGGGTACCTGATATAATAATGTGTGGCGTCGCACCGAAATACCGAGCTGAGGACTCAGAGAGGCAAAAAGGCGAAAAAAGAAGAAAAATAACAAACCAGTTCGGTGCATTTGCCCTAACTAACGGGAAAAGCATATCTTATCAGTCGAAAAAAAAACCTAAAAGCGACTTCCCACGCCCCCGCCATTATTCCAAGCAATGACTCAAACTTTTTAGGGGCCCGAAAGGCTAAATCGACGGGCGACGGGCGAAGGAAAAAAAAAAAAGAGAGAAAAAAGACCCCTCCCGCCTCCGACTTCGCGAGCTGTCTGTTCTGACTCCCGTGCTTCTTTCTTCCCTCTGTCTATCCCGCACCGAGAAAAAAAAAATTCGCCCTGCTTTCTTTCTGTTCTCTTGTTTTCCTCCTTTACTTCATATCATCCTACCAATTCATTTTGTCTTTCTTTTCCTTCTAAAAAACATTCCTCAGGCCCGTGAATTTCGCTCTCTTCTTTGAGTGTCGTACCTCTCTCCAAATCCCTCTCCGGCACAGAAGAAGCAGCAGGACGGAAACCAGTCATGTGTGGGATTTTCGCTTGTCACTGGTATGTACATACACTACAGCCCGGCAGGAAGAAAGGGATTTATGAAAACACATATCCCTCCATTTGAGAAATCTCTAGAAAGAAGTGTTGGAAAGCCAAAATAAATAAATAAATAAAAAGGACAGCTTGATACTGACGTGTTCTTCTACAAATGCAGTCACCCAGATGTGCAAAAGTTCAAGCCTACGGCTTTGCGCATGGCGAAAGCGTGAGTGGTTTCAACCTCCTCCCCCCCATGCCACCACAAGCTGCCTGGCTTAGTGGTTCTTTGGTTTTGGAGATTTAAATATATAAAGAGAAAATGGACGGAGTTGCTAAAATACTACTTGTTATTTGAAATCTACAGCGTGCGCCATCGTGGTCCCGATTGGAGTGAGTCACCCCCCCCACGCACACATCCCCCTGTTCGGTGTTTTCACAGTGGTGGAGGAAGAAGGGGAAGGGGGGAGAAAAGACCCTATTTATCTATTATCAACTTTTTACTGCTTGTTCATGGTGACTGACATATATATCTACCCTTTCTTTACTATAGGTGGAAACTTCGTTGCAAACAACACAAGTCAGTATTCCGTGCAGATACAGTCCCCTCTCTGTTATACACAGGGACGGGCTCCCGTTCCACCGTCCATAGGGGACTTTGGCTGACCTGGCATCCTATCTTACTCTCTAGTCCTTGCACACGAGCGGTTGAGCATTGTTGGTGTTGATTCTGGCGCCCAGCCTCTGGTCAATGACGATGGCACCCTTGCCCTGGCCGTCAACGGCGAAATTTATAACCACAGAATCCTGCGAAAGGGTCTGAAATCTCCATACAAATTCAAGACACATTCGGATTGCGAAGTCATTATCCCACTGGTGAGTCCCAATTCCTGTAGTCCCCCCCCCTCTCCTTTTTCGCTTGATTGCGGGTTGGGCTCTAACATCCTTTTGCCACTGATGTTAGTACATGGAACATGGCATCGACGCCCCTAAATTCCTCGACGGCATGTTCTCGTGGGTCCTGTTTGACAAGAAGGAAAACAGAGTCGTCGCTGCGCGAGACCCCATTGGCATCACCAGTTTCTACCAGGGATGGTCATCGCAAACTCCCGGCGCCGTATATTTCGCCTCAGAGCTGAAGAGCTTACACCCCGTATGCGACAAGATTATTAGCTTTCCTCCAGGTCATGTATATGATTCCAAGACAGACACTATGACCAGATACTTCGACCCCAAATGGTGGGACCCCACCAACGTCCCGTCCACCCCCGTTGACTACAAACTTATCCGTGAGACTCTGGAGAAATCGGTGCGGAAACGATTGATGGCGGAGGTTCCATATGGTGTCCTTCTCTCTGGAGGGTTGGATTCGAGCTTAGTGGCTTCCATCGCGCAGCGGGAGACGCTACGACAACAAGCTCTCTCTAGCGCCACGGCGACTAACGGAGTTAACGGAGAGTCTTCAAGCTCCGGACTGGTCGGCATTGACGATTCCGACGAGTTATCTACCGTGACTACCCTGCCACAGCTCCATTCATTCTCTATCGGCCTTCCCGACGCCCCGGACACCAAGGCCGCTCTCGAAGTGGCCAAGTTCCTCGGAACAAAGCATCATGCTTTCACTTTTACTCTCGAAGATGGCCTCAATGCCCTCTCCGACGTCATCTATCACTTGGAGACCTACGATGTCACCACCATCCGCGCATCTACACCTATGTACCTGCTGAGCAGAAAGATTAAAGGCATGGGCGTCAAGATGGTGCTTAGCGGTGAGGGTAGTGA